TGCAGGCCCTGCGTGTGCGTCCAGTCTCCGAGTCAGCCGGATGAGCTCTCCGTTTCGGCGCGAGAACCCCGCAAACGCTAACTCTTTTTCCTCGGAGAACAATAATTGGCGACCCTCCTCCTCACACGCCTCTCTGTCGCAGGCCCTGCTCGTATACTTCCAGTTCTCCGGGCCGGGGAAGCCGGGGACGCCAGGGACGCCGTGGACGCCGTGGACGCCGTGGACGCGGGCATCGGTGTTCTTGGACGCGACAACAACTCCGACATGCTGAGGGAGCACTGAGTCTCCTCCTCACGCCTCTGTCTCTGTTGCAGGCCCAGACACCGCAGCCGCCGGGTCCTCCCCGGGCTGAGCAGCGGTAGCCCAGTCCTGCACGTGCAGGCCGATGAGTGGGTGGTGGGTCGGTCCCTCGGTGCAGGCGAGTCTAACGCGGTGCTCTTCCTGTCAGCAGGTGCTTGGTCCGGGATACCGCCAGGCCGAGAGGCGGCCGACTACCCTGGACGAGAGGCAGCCGACTACCCAGGACGGGAGGTGGCCGACTACCCAGGGAGAGGGGTGGCCGACTACCCAGGACGAGAGGCGGCCGACTACGCAGGGAGAGGGGTGGCCGACTACCCAGGACGAGAGGCGGCCGACCACGCAGGACGAGAGGTAGCCGACTGGAGGGACCCAGGACGGGAGGCGGCCGACTACCCAGGACGAGAGGCGGCCGACTACGCAGGACGAGAGGTGGCTGACTGGAGGGACCCAGGACGGGAGGCGGCCGACTACGCAGGGCGACAGGCGGACGACTACCCAGGACGAGAGGCGGCCGACTACCCAGGACGAGAGGCGGCCGACTACGCAGGACGAGAGGTGGCCGACTGGAGAGACCCAGGACGGGAGGCGGCCGACTACGCAGGGCGACAGGCGGCCGACTACCCAGGACGAGAGGCGGCCGACTACCCAGGACGAGAGGTGGCCGACTGGAGGGACCCAGAACGAGAGGACGTCGGCTGGAAGGATCCGACGGTCAAGGCCGAGCCGTGCGAGGACGACCGCGTCCTCCTCGACCTCGACAATGTCAAGGCGGAGCCGCGCGAGGACGACCGCGTAATCGTCGACCTCGACGACGTCAAGGACGAGCGGCTGAGGCTGCTGGTCAGTCGGGGCTCCCCGCCCGGCGGCCACCGCGACGTCGAGGACTCGAGGGGCTTGTCCGCCAGGACCCTGGATCCCCTGGATCCCCTGAACGGCGTCGCCCACGCGGTGCACCTTGAGCACTCTTCGGGCTCCCGAGGGGCGTCCACCGTCGACGTCGCCGGCGAGACGCGACAGTATGGCGGAGGCCGGAGCGTTCAGGCTCATGGCGTCGAGTGGGACGAGAGTGCGAGCACCAGCGGACTACTCGGCGAGGCCGGGCGGAAGTGCAACTACTGCACCCAAGAGTTTCCTACGACATCCGCACTGAAAGATCACATCAGTGAAGAACACGACCTCGCCGCGCCGTACAAATGTGGATTGTGTGGGCAGGGTTTTGCAAAACATAACACCCTGTCCAGGCACATCCTGACACACACGGACGCGAGGCCGTATCAATGCGACCTCTGTAAAAAGAGGTTCGTCTACAAATGTACCCTGCTCGTACACATCAGGACAATACATGGTGGTGAGAAGAACTATCGTTGTGACATTTGCCACAAGCGTTTTGCTGATAAATCTAAACTTGCCTATCACATCAGGACGCACACTGGTGAGAAACCGTTCCAGTGTGACATCTGTAAAGTGAGGATGATCCGGAAAGCTCAACTTATTGCTCACATGAGGAAACATACTGGTGAGAAGCCATACAAGTGTGATTATTGTGGGGAAAGCTTCGCCACAGCAGGTACTCGCACCAGACACGTCAATACTAAGCACGACTTTTAAAATAAAATTATGTGGCATTTACAAATGTCTTAATTTGCGTCCAAGCCAAGGTAATTTTCTAGTATGGTACTTTGTTAATGTTATGTCTTCTAATGTTTCTAAAAAGATTTCTATTGATTTACACTTTTAGTTTTGGACATGTTCTGTTTTGGGAATGTACAGTTGAACATAATAATGTTGTCAATTCTTGGTTTGGAAGTTTGTTAATAATTTGGTTAATCTAATTATAATTTGGGAATTCTGTACTGTTTTGGAGGACACACGTCACACGTGCAGAAAACAACTTCGTCAATTCTTCTGGTTTAGGCTAAGTGCCAGAAAGCCTCTCTTTGTTTTCCAAACTTTTTTTCGCAGTGTGTATTTTTAATAAACAAATAACATTCAAGTATCTAGTTAAAATAAATGTTTCCCACTTTCCCCGTGTGAAATGTCTTGTTTAAATGGAGGTAAATGGGACGAAAAGGGGTAGACTGTAATGCAGCTGGGAGCTGGGGACACCGGCCGGCCTCCAACACGACTACAAAATTCGCAGTCGACGCCGTGGTGTGACGTGAAGTGCAATATTATTTGAGCGAATTTGACTCACTTTAGATTTAATTTAATACTCTGTGCCAACCCTGATGTGTCCAGATGCATTCGGGAGCTCGGCGCCTGCCAGACTCGGGGTAGGCCAGCCCGCGGTACACGCATGCACCACAGCCGAGATGTTGCCTACCTCCCAGGCGCTGTCGCAGGCTATAATAATAGAGCCTGGGGCAAGGCTGTACAAGCACGCTGATAGACAGTCAGACTTAAACCTAGGACGACAGAGAAGGAGAGCAGATCACTGTTGCGCCATGCCGCCGCAAAACGCCCCCTC